ATTGTACTCTGTACTGATAAACTGCTCACGGCATTCTTACCCTGTACTCATATTCTGCACTCTGCACTGTTAAACTGCTCACGGCATTCATACATTGTATTCACACACTGCAGGTCCAGCGCATCGTGGATCGGGCGGGCTTCGGCACCTTCTGCCGAGGGCTCTCTAGGCTCTCCACATGCAGACCTCTTCTCGCCGCTCTGGCGGAGAGGTGGTGGGACACCACCGATTCTTTCCACTTCTCTGCTGCAGGGGACATGACGATGACCTCTTATGACTTCTCGATGCTTACAGGCATCGGGGTAGGGGGGGATCCGATCCCTTTCGACACAGACATGGATGAGCGGACCGCCGCTCAGGTCCATCTACTGGGGGAGGCCCCACCACTAGCTCGTCCAGGCTTCTTCCGATACTCCTGGTTCGAGACACAGTTCAGGGTCCAGCCCGCATTGGGGGAGGAGACTCAGATGACCGAGGAGGACGTGGAGAGGTATGCTCGCGGCTTCCTCATGTTCCTATTCGGGACTACTATCTTCGTCGACCGGGCGAACACCGTGCCTCTCTGCCTTCTCAGCGCACTGGTGGACGTCCGGGATATCTTGCACTACGATTGGGGCGGCGCTGCTCTGGCCACCCTGTACGGATATATGAGCTCGGCTTCTCGTGGCAGCGGCCAGCTGCTTGGAGGTTACTGGCGGGCTTGGGAGGTACATTTCTTCTCCGCTTTTTCATTTCTGTCCGATATTCTCTGTACTCTGTACACTGCACACACTGCGGTCTGCTTTACATTTACTGTATACTGTACACACGGCACACACATACATTCTGCTTTACACTGACTGTACACTGCTCACACTGTACACTGTACACAATACACTGCACAACACACGGCTCTGCCATTTCTGCTTCATTCTGATGGTCATACTGACATCTGTTTTGCAGTTGTGGGTTTACGCCTACTTCCCTAGGCTTGCACCCGTACCAGTTGCGGAGCCTCCTCCGGCTGTCCCGTTCTCGAGTCGCTTACATCAGAGACGCACCCGGCGACCACGGGAGACATTCGGCTTCTTCCGCATGACGGGAGTGAATGTCAAAGCCCAGAGACAACCCATTTTTGACAAGGCCGAAGAC